TGGGTAGAAGTTCCTTAATAAATGTCTTGGGGATAGGTTCAACCAAGCAAGTAGATGATTTAGAAGAAGATGTTTAAATAATTTATTCAAAAACTATTATTAATCATATTCTTCTGCAAAACTAACACATTTTATAGTCTTATTATTATCTGCCCATGTGTGCCAAATGTGGTGGGGTATTCAGACAATTACTCCAAACTCGAATTAAAATTTTTCAATTTTACAATTGAAATTTTGAATTTTCAATGTGTTGGCCAGAGACTAGATATTTCATTCCTGCTTGGTCATTAGATATCCTGTGACACTTTTAAATGCTTCTTTTTGCAGTTTTTGGATATTTAATATAAAATCTGCCCTCCCTAGTTTCCCTTTGAAGTTGAATTCAGCCTCTTACTCCACCCTTATCACTGCCCAGTAGGGCTACTGCAGTAACATGGCTGCCATGTTTCCCCCAGGTGGGATAGGGCTGCAGTGGGACAGGAACAGGAAGTGATGCTCTATTTCCTGTTTAACTCTTTATTCCTTACAGGATTGTAGTAGGACTGCAAGTGTGTTGTACCTACACACTATGACTTACCATCAGTTTTTCGGCAATTATCACCGTCTTCTAAAGCCATCCATGAAAATACATAAACCTGTCGTACTAATGTGGCAATTGCTAAAAGCACTAAATATAACCAGCAGAATGACAATGATACAAAACATATGGCCTGTGCAACCAAGGGTTCTTTAGGAAACAATGGCCAACAATCAGATTTAAATCCATTTGTGAAGCATTTTACTTGTGTAAGAAAAAAAGAAGTCAGAACTCCACAAAATAGGCAAAAACTTCACAGAGTTGTGGTAATGTGTTGTAGGTGTCTTGCACTTATTTTGTGAAAGGAATATAATCCCATATAATGACATTTACAGCCAGGGAGATGTTTATATGTAGGAATGCAAAAGTCTTAAGTTTAGAATTTCACCTCCACCAGTTTTGTTAAAGTATGGTTAAATTCTAATACGGATTAGATAATCAACCTTGATCCTTTATTGCCTTTATAATCATAAGACCCCTACCTGCAAAGATTTTGTTCATTGCTTAGCAATTTAATGTATTTAGGTATAAAGTAGTCTTTATACAGGGGATCTGATACCAGTGGGTAGGTGAGTATACACCTATCTCTTGCTTTACTGATCTAATTCATTTAAAAAGTTATCCAAAAACAATAAAAATGTCTATACAGTACATATTATTTACTAATTTATTTACAGGACCTTCTGAATGATAGGTATGCACTTTACCCCACTGTACCAAAGCGTTGCTCAGATAACTGAAACAGACACGTCAAAATGTTTCCAAAATAATGAACAGGGCAAAGAAATTGATGCACATGTTTACGAATAAAGTGTAATATGATACTACTACCAGCAATATAGATACATTAGATTGTAGATTATGTAAATTCATAAATTATTATCATTAATGATGTTAACTTGATGCTCTTGTGAAAGACTAAAGAGCTTCAGTTCCTTTTGCCTGTATATATAACATTCCTTCCATTCCCCAGATCCATTGCTAGGTAAACATTTAGAGATAATAAAGCCAAACATTAGTATAGGACTCTATTGTGCTCTTTTCTAAACTGTTGCTGTTTGCTTTTGAAGAGAGCATAGCATAGCCTAGGTCAACTGATTAAAATGTGAATTGTGTGCTTATTTAAGTACTGTTCTGTTTTCTGTATACAGAAGTATTAGTGGTGGGGCTTTGTGGTAATACAAACAGATATTACACCTTCTGTTACGTTAATTAAGTGTTTTTTAGCGTTAAACACAGCAGTATTCTGAGAAACAGAATAAAGAGAAGTGTGATACGAAGAGTAAGTACTGCTTTGTTTTTTGCATTTAAAATGTGGAATCATTTAAC